GACTGTGAATGCGGTAGGTACTCACTATTCAACATGTAACCTTTCCCCAGCATGGGCTCTTGCAACACTAGAAACTGCGTTATTGTTTGGCAAAAAACATCGGAAATGAAAAAAGATGGGTCAAGTTTCTGTTAGAGGGGATTTTAGATATCAGATAACCCTTCAACGCCGGACCACACGCTCCCATTCAATTGCAGCCGAAGGACAAGAACGTTGTGAATGTTGCTTCGTACAACGCGCAGCTGAGATAGCTGTGCTGAGCACAGGCAACTGCTAAATCTTTGAAGACTGTGAACTGCACTCACTCCACTATTCAACACGTGACCTTTCGCAAACGAGGTCTCATGTGGCAATAGTTAGTGTCCGTCGAAAAACTTCGGAAATGAAAAAATGTGGGTCAAGTTCTTGTTTTTGGATTTTCAAGTTTGTTGGAGGGGAATCTACATAGAAGATGGGGGGAATCTACCTACAAGATAACATTCCAACGCCGGACCACACGTTCGCCAGTCAGCTGAAGCGGACTGATAAGAAGCTTGCCGATGGTGCTTCGTATGGCGTGCTGCAGAGTTACCTGTGTTGAGCACGACCAATTGCAGACTCGAAGGACTGTGAATGCGGTAGGTACTCACTATTCAACACATAACCTTTCGCCAGCCCATAACGAGTACTCATCCAAGGTTTAGGGCTGGAAACATCCAGCATAAAAATTGTTGGAAATCGCGCTCGCTTCCCAGACACTTGAGCTGGTGTAATTGGAGAAGGTAACTCTTGAATTTTCTGCCAGATTTATGCAAGATTTAGCGAAAGTACAGGGTTGGCCATAATTATAGCGACAAGACTTGCTGCAGTTAGCGTACATTCTATCGCGCACATAGCGCGCCAGTTTTATGGATTTTTCAATCTCATCATTTTTTCTAACTCCTGTTAAAATTTGGTTAAATTTGGTCCATTCATAGTGAAATGGTGAAGCCTTCTCCTGATCGTTCCGCTATCGTTCGTCTGCACAAAGCCGGCCGCCCACCCGCCCCACGATCGGCTAAGCACCTCGGCATCCACCGCAGCGTCGTGTATCGCACACTCCAACGTTATCGAGACCTTGGTGGACTCCAAGACCGCCGAAGAAGTGGAAGACCTCGTACTGCTTCCGCTACGCGCCGATGGTTCGTCGAGGCGTCCAGAAACGGATTAGGCAAAAAATCCGGAGCTGCGGAGCATCTTCAACGGATGGTCGGGACACTGGGGAATCTGCAGAGTATGTGGTTTGTTGTCACATGCCGAGAGAGGCGTCGTGCGCACAAAGAGCGTTCAAGAGGCGTTATTACCGCTACCGGTACTCGGGAGGAGCTGCTATCTCGAGCGCCTTCGAAATCAGCAGGCGGCGAAGTCAAGAAGTGCGACAGGCTTTTGCTTCGGATCGTTCGCTGATACAAGGGGCCATCGCATTCGTATCGTCTTTTCGGATGTTGAAGCTCTTCACCGGGTCTGTCGCAGCAGTTTCAACGCTCAGATTACGTCAGGGTGATCGCGCGAGGAATCGCCGAGGAAGCCGACAAGAAGGGAAGAGCCGTTCACCGGGCCGCATACCCTGCCCAAGTCATGGTGTGGGCAGGGGTGTGTGCCTCGGGGAAGACACCGTTGATATTCGTCGGAGCCCCGGCCTGTTCAAAATGACAATGATTACTAACGCTGAGACGAGTTATGGAAGTATGCGTCGTAACTCTTTCGTGGTGCCTGATTATTCCTACTTCAAGCGGGTCCGCCCCGGTGGGACGATGTCAGCCAGCAAGATTCGGCGCCCGCCCACAAGGCCAAGGTCGTCCAAGCGTGGTGCAAGAGCGAACTCCCCGACTTCATCTCGGCAGAAGAATGGCCGGCATCGTCACCGGATTTGAACCCACTGGACTATAACTTGTGGTCCTACCTTGAGAGCAAGGCCTGCGCCACTCCCCACCCCAATTTGGATTCTCTGAAGGCAGCGCTCATCCGAGAATGGGACGAAATCGACGACGCACTCCTGCGTCCGGTCATCGACGCCTTTCCCAAGCGACTCCGCGCTGTCGTCCGTGCCAAAGGTGGCCGAATCGAGAAGTAACTTATGATTGTTAATGTACCAGTTGTTACTTAATAAATGTTATGTTCATGACTCGTTTGCACTTTTGCTTTCTGAGATATAAGGTGAAAACCTTGTCGCTATATTTATGGCCAACCCTGTAGGATGGTTGATGTTTCGTGGTATATCGGGGTGTCGTTCTCCATCAAATTGAACAGTACTGGAAAAGCGAGTGGTATTGAAGCAACTCAACCAGAAAGGAGGTACGCATCAAAAAGGTGCTGGCGCGGACAATGTTGACTCACATTGACTGAAACGAAATGAATGTGTCCCCTTGTTCTATGCCAAGAGCGTTATTTTTCATCTGTAAATGCATTGATTGGTTTGCCTTTATACGACAATGGAATATCCGTTCATACAAAAATGAAGCAGAAATTACTTCATAAAAAATGTGGCACAAAGTCAAGAAGGCTTCCAAAGTGCGTCTGAAGGACGAAACACGAGATATCAGATCCATTCGCTAACTGGACGGTTCTCATCTTTATGGGGATCAAGTCTCTTTGTAGAGAGTTACCCACCGAATAATCTTTCTGTTAGAGTGTGTTCAAGTGAAATCACTGCCCCAACTCTTATGAACGTGATCACAGACCCTAAAAGCAGACTTCACGATTAGCTAGTGAAAAGTCATAGACAGCGGGGTTGAGAAACAGAATTGTATGTGCTAGTTGACTTTTCGTGAAAAAAAGGAAAGGGAGCCGTCGAGAAGGTTCCAAATAAGGCTATAGAGAAAATACATCTATCACTGTGGGCGAAGTCACTTGAGCAACCTTGTGCATTCCTGCCGCTACCTTATCGCTTCCTGGCGTAAACCTTATACAAGGTTATTCGCTGCAGTCTAGACTACCCCTCCGTACGATGAGCTTGAACAGTTAGATAGCCCCGAAAGACCGTGGGCTCTGCATTTAAAAAGACGGTGAAAAAGAGGGGCAAGATCAGAACCGCGATGAGCTTCGTTATATACATTATGGCTCTATTTACCCTTTACTTTCCCAGTTCTGGGACATCGGGTCAAGAATTAGTATGTCTAGAACTTGGTCCGCAAAAGTTGTTTGATTCCCTGAACATGAATATCGCAGTCATTAGGTGCGAAATTGCCTGGCCATCGCATCACAGGCGCGACGCCAAAATACCACAAATCACCGAATAGTGGCCATTATCTATTTCCAGTATAGAAAACAAGAGGAGAGAAGAGGGTTGCTTCATTCTGAAGGGTAATATATCTTGTTTCCTAGTTAACGACATATTTTGAGAATGATAGGAGGCTTTGTTCCATCTTTCAAGACCTATTCAGTATGATTGCTGGTGAAATCGGTTAAAGAAGTGGGCATGCCCTCAGAATAGAACACGTATATGTTGGTACAAGGGGAGGGGGGTGTGGTATGTGCTTCCGAGGAAAGCGTTTTCTGTAGTAGAGGGGGAGGGAAGGCTCTATTCTGCAGAAACTTTCCCCGAGGAAGGATGTGCACTGTTCAGGAACGCATGCACCAGTGTGGTGAACAATAAATAGTAGCTCGCCCGGCGTCCATTGTTCCCGTATGAGCAGGCCATGCTTACGACTCTCACGCAAAATTGGTGGAAAAGGGTAGTTTCTACCTGATATTTCTTTGGGCGAGCCACTACTCAAAAAGGCTTTTTCGAGATAGGACTCCTATCTCGAAAGCCTTTTTGAGTGGTGGCTCGCCCGAAGAAACCCCCCTAAGACTTTTTTCTCATCCAGTCGAATTCCCGCCTCTCAAACCCCCATATAGCGCACTCAAAACAGAAAAAAAGAGAGAAAAGTCAACAATCAAAAACATTCTTCGCAAAGGCAGGTATAAAACCCTCCAAGGATCAAATACGGCACTTATTGGTGGGATGCCAGTGCATGACGTATCCTGGCTACTCTTCATTTAATTTCTGAGCGTACGGGCGCGGTTTGTGTCGGTATGTTGCAGCTTGATAGGACGCTATACGGGTACCGGAAAAAACCCATGCAGCTAGCGCTCAGACAAGGAATTCTCTTCTGCTAGGCGTACTAGTCTTACACATCGCCGGTATTTATTGTGCACTTGCCTTTGAAACCCCTTAACAACATTCCGGACAAATGTGACCCACTTCACGGGAGCTCCCTAACAGGGGATGCTCTTGTTTCAGGAACTGTTTTCCAGTGAGTCATCTGCCCTTGGAAGCAAGGTTTGGTGTTCTATCTGAAAATACGGTCACATCATCTTTAGCTCAGCTTTCGAG